TAATTTCAGATAAATAATAAATAATTTTAGATATTAAATATATTTAAATACCCAAAAAAGAAGATCAGAATTTTCACAAATGGATTAGACTTAGCACAACTCATCATACTAAGGGTTTAGTATAAATATGTCCCTAACCCTAAGCCTGCCCATGGTGTGACAGTTACTCCTGATCTACCTGGCTGGCTCGCAGATGCCTCAGAGATTAGTGAAGCACGCTTCTGGGTATGTCTGCACAGGTCACGGAGGTGTGGCCCTGGCAGCTTTACCCGTTCCTGTCCTCTTCCGCGCCGTGCTCCTCCCTGCACTGTCTCCCAGACACCATGAGCTGGGCAGCTCTCCTCTCCGTTCCCTGCCACTGTGATGTTTCCGCCTTGAAGCCAGCGGAACATGGACTGAGATCTCTGAAACTGAGCTAAAGTAAATCTTTCCTGTAAGTTGTAAGTGTCCAGTATTTGGTTCTGGCAACAAGAAAGCCAACTATAACCAGCACATTCACTTTCCCTGCATTCTGTGTAACTAACTGCAGCCGTGAGACTAGTGAGGTTTACGAGACAATATAGTCGACACAGTTTCTGGGGAGAGACCAATGCCATGATTTTCCCTTTACTCCCACCTGGAATTTATGTAAGGCACAGATCTGCAGAAGATGGCTTATACCACGGGGCAGCCAATAGCAGCATGAAACTTCATTTTATTTACCCGGGTGTTGTGCAGGTGGGGCACAGCTTGCAGACATGGGTGGCCACGGGTATTACACAGGACCCCAGGGCTGGTCCATCTATGGTGACTGCCCAGAGCCAGGTAAAACCCTACAATGCCTGACCAGAGGCAGGTAACGAGATACGGCATCTAGACCTACCCTACCACCAGGGAGAGGCTTGTGGGGAGAGATTCTTTCTAGTTATTCTCCTGATTTTTATTTTGTTTTTAAACAATACACCAACAGTGTATTTGAGACAAAGCTTGGCTTGGATTGCCTCCTAGTACTGAAACAGTGATAAATCTCCCAATAGCAGAATGCCAGCACATCTGAATCTGGGTGCTATCCAGTGCCGAAATAGTGAAGGTGACTACAGGCTCAGAGAAAATAAGCAGCCTGCCTAGAGTTTCTAGAAAGACGGGCACAAACAAGACCAGATTAGGAATGAAATAGGACAGGTACCTTCATGGGACAAGACACATGGATACTTGGGCCTGAATCCATGACTTGTTGCCCACTAAAGACAGAGACATCTCTTTTCCTCTATTTTCCCTTGCTAACAATGTATGGCATATGCTCTCCCTTTATCCCTACTACTCTTTTTTTGGCGGGGGTACCGGGGATTGAACTCGGGTCCTTGCACTTGCAAGGCAGGCCACCAAACCCTTGAGCTAAATCCCTGGCCCCCTCCCCCTACTACTCTTAATGCAAGGACCAGCAGGGGAGAACATCAGGATGCCTCTAAGGGTGAGAATGGCTGCTAATCCATATTTCACAGGGAGGAAATCTCTTAACATGAAGGGAAAGTCTAAAAGCAAATCCCACACTAATGACCAAAGAGAGTGCCAGCCCCTAGCTCGCCCCAGCAAATCCATAAAAGCTAGTCTTCTCATTCCCTTGTTAAGGGGCCAGATCATCCTCCTAAGAGCTGTGCCTCCTTTAGCTCCTCAAGCTCAAATTCCTTTCCTATTTTCTCTTATTTTCTAATTCTGCCTAACAAATCTTCCTGTGCCTCTCACTGATGCATCCTGAACTTTTGTTTTTCTGTGATGACAGTCAACAAACCTACTCCATGGGGTGAGGGGCAAGTTGACCTCATCTTCTCTTTGAGAGACCTCCTGGGACAACATTCAGTGACATGCCGGCTTTATCATTTCCATCCTAACTGAGCAAAAGAACCATGAACTCACTGGTGTCAGAAGACTGGAATATACCTAATCCTTCAATGCCCAGATGTGTCACACATCAACAAGCATCAAGAGGTTTCAGGAAACAAGTGCCTCACCTTAAACTGAAAATTAAATCCCAGAAACTGACCAGGTAGTAACCAGTATGGGAGTACTCTCAGAGAATTTAAAACAGCCATTTTAAGGAAATTTAGTGAGCCTGAGGAAAACACAGAGACATGTTTCACTACTCTTAGAAAAACTTAAGAGACAAAAGCAATTTTTAAAAATCAGGCAGAACTTCTTGGGCTGAAAAGTACACTCAGTGAAATAAAAAGGATAGAAGACATCAACACTGGAATAGATCAAACAGAAGAAAAATCATAGCTATTTGAAAATACATTGAGGAGAATAAAACGAATGAAGGAGACCTATGGGAACTTTAGGACAGTATTAAATGGGCAAATATCCAAATTTGGGGGTGGGGTTCAAGAAAGAAATAAACAGGGGCTCAAGGATCTGTTTGGGAGTGTAACAAAAGACCTGGCATCTGTAACCTAGTGATCCTACGTGAAGAAGAGATACAGAGAAAGATTTTAAAAAGTACTCAAAGAAATAATAGCTGAAATCTTTCTTAATTTGGCAAAACCTACAGATTTGTACTGAGTCAAACTGAAACGGGATAAAACCAAAGAAATCTGGATCGAGACTCATCATAACCAAATTTCTGAAAACTAAATACAGGAAACGGTGTCAGAAGCAACAAGAGAAAAGCAACACTCTATCTATACTGGAACAAATGCAGATAACAGCAGATTCATCATCAGAAACCATGGAGGCCAAAAAGAAGTAGTGTGACTTTTGTTCAAGCGTGAGAGAGAGAACAATCAACCCAGAATGCCTATAATCAAAGAAAATATCCTTCAGAAATGGAGAGGAGAAAGCAAGACATTCCCAAATGAGGGAAAATCAAGATAACTTGCCATTAATATACGGACTCTAAAAAGTGGTTTAAGGAAGTAAAAGTAGGGCAGAGTGAAAGTTGCAGAGATTGTGTAGTTTCTGCGTTAGCCTACAAAGTGTGATTAAAAAAAAAATACGGTGCTTCAATTGTTAAAAATTCACCACAGTAAAATACACATTGTCATGAAGCCCCCTCAAAAGTTTCCCCTTCACTTTGAACACCCGTGTCAATTCTTGCCACTTCCTGAGGCAGCTCTGGGAGTCCCCTTTCTTGTCCGTAACTGTGTTGTTGTGGCTGCCTTGTCCTGAACTGATTCAAAACATTGACCTTTTGTGGCCTTTTTGACTTTGGCGAAGAAGTTGCGCAATGCAACTCCTGGCTCTTCCCCAAAGAATAAGGTGGATACGGTGGAGAAGGACTATGAATAAGTCGGTGAGGACCCACTGTGATGTTTTTACAAGCCTGCCTTTCTGTTGGATGTCACTCAGCAGAAGCATCCATCGGATTTTTAATAAAACCTCTTAAAGACACTCACGAAAGAGGGCTTCCAGAGCTGCTTCAGAAAGTGGCAAGGATGGTGGGATAGCTGTGCTCAGAGGGAGGAGGAGGGAAATTAATGGCAAAGTGGGTTTTTCACTGTAATAAATTTTTAAAATTTAGACATTCACCCATCACCCCTTGTGCATCATGTGACCCCTCTTGGCTTCTTCAGCCTGATTGCCTCCCTTCTCTTCCTTGCTCACGACCCAGCCTTCTTGCTCCCTTCCTCAGGGCCTTTTCCCCTGTCCGGGCCTCTGTCTGAAGTGACTCACTTTTCCTTGTCATTTAGATCTTAGTGCAAGCCTTCCATGTCTTCTGAGAGACGTTCCCTGACTCTTTCTTCACAAGCAAGCGGTTCCCTTCCCTCTCGCTCTCTAACCCATACTGTCTTATTTCTAGACCGTATCATCAGCGTAAATTCTCATTTACTTACCTGCTTGTTCATGTCTCCCACTATTAAAAAAGGCATCATGAGGTCAGAAATGCTATCTGAGCTGCCCTCCTTTGCATCTCCAGTACCTAGATGCTAACTTGGATAGGTAAGCATCCAACAAATATTTATTGAACAGATGAATTAATTTTCTCCAAATCTCTTATTCTATAACCAGGAAGGCCAAGGTCCAGATGAAGAAAATGGCCCTCCTGAGACTCTGCGACTGGTCACTAGAATCCAGGCCAGGTGCTTTTCTGTAACACCCGATTTTATCCAGCCTCATCTTTGAAGCTACCTTCTATGGTCTCACCACTCAGTGATCATTCCCGAGAGCTCCTATTATAGCACTAGATGGTAACACCCATTTGGTTTTTTATTCTCTTTGACTTTGTCTTTATGTATCTTTATTATATCTACCTTGTTGCTCCAACCAAACTGCAAGTACCTTGAAAATACTAAGAAAACACAAAGAGTATATCCTCTCTATGTGCTTTAGAAATGTAGCTGAAGTTACTTTATTCACTAAAGTAAAACTCAAGATGTTTACAACTCTCATCTCGTCCTACTATCAAGGATAAAAGCTGGCTGCTCAAAGGCTCCAGAGAGGTGATTTCTGTGGAACTCCAGCTAAGCACAGAGAGACACTGTCTTACTTGCAGTTGGCAGCTTATGGGCTTCGTCAAAACTATGCAGAGGAACCGCTCTGGGCATGATGGGTGGATTCTGAAAGGTAATCCTTGCTGTTGGGGGAATCAGTCCGCGTTCTATCATACTTAGAATCCCTAAAAGGGAAAATTAACAGAATGTGAGTTTAACTCAAGCCATCTCACAAAGTCTGAGCTCTAAAATCTTGACAAGTGTGACTTACTCTATCAATCATCTCATTTGTAAAAGTGCATCTGGTGCCTTAATCCTTTGCATGAAAAAAAACAGCTACAGTACATGTTCATTTAAGCTTAATATTCTAACCCAGGGGAAAATGCCATTTCCAACAGCAGTAATTCTGAGATGAGATCGCACTAAGGTAATCTCATTTTAAGGTAGAAATATAATTTCAAGGCGAACTAAAACTTCTTTGTTTTTATGACACTTTCCATCACTGGTAATATTGTTACTCTTTTTAAAATTCAGAGAAATCAGGCACATATTCTTAATGACTAAGATGGGCTGGGCTTTTAGCTCAGTAGTGTGGCCGTCTTCTTCAAAAGTGAAAGGTCCTGAGTTCAATCCCCAGTACCGCAAAAAAACCAAAAACAAACAAACGAAAAAAAATCAAACACACACTTAATGACTAAGATGAACCTTTGTTCTGGAAGAAAATCCATGTGCTTCAAACCATGCCTTGTTGTTATAATCAGCCATACTTTATAAAAGGAGTTATCAATAGACATTTATCATATCACCTAAAGATATGAATAGTTTAGTGTAACTGAGCACCATGGCTAGTGTTAATACAACTAATTTACAGCTCCTAGAACTCATGCCGTCTCAGCAAGGCTGAAGTCAAGCCTTTTTAGGGACAAGAGGCATTGTTAAATAAGTAAACAAATAAATAAATCAATGAATAATTGAACAAAGCCTTCCACAGGGGGCAGAACTTTCACTAAGGCGATCTATTGTATTAAAGCCAGAAACCCAGAAACTTGAGAACTATGTATAATAAATTTGTGGTAGGACTTCAATTTCTGGTTGCTCTCTTATATAACAGGAAGAAAAGTAAAGAACTGTGGATCTCAACAAATTCTCAGCATATAAACTTTGTACCAGGCTGAACTATGTTGAAGAGGTTAGCACACATTCTAAGAGGAGCTGATAATTATTTCCACTTGTTTTAAGACCACGATTATATTGCTTTTAAACGAGTTAATACAGTGTTATGGGATTTCAAAGGATTATCACCGAAGGGTTAGCACACTGAAGAGGACTTCTCTTGTGAAACAATGATTCCAAAGAGAAATCTCCAGAAATCTTCAGTGGAATCATTTGGAGGAAGATTTTCTTATTGAAAATGGAGGTTTCTGAGTTCCTCCTCAGTCCTGTCCATAAGTCTGAGGTCATGGCCTAGAAACCTGCATTATCAAAGCCAGCAAGCAATACTGAGGTGCAGTGAAGTTTGAGAACCATTGGAATTGAGGCTCAGTGATCTACAAGTTAAATGAGCACTCCGGATCTCTTAAATCATGAGAGCTACTGGGGCAGAGTACAACTCTTTAAACCTTTTTTAAAGTTAGCACTTTCAATGTTCATAACACAAGAACTAGGTATGACTTTAAAACAGTAAGATTAATTCTTTGTTCTCACAAGATTTTTTGTTTGTTTGTTTGTTTCGTTTCGTTTTGTTTTGGCACCGGGGATCAAACTCAGGTCCTTGTGCTTGCAAGGCAGCTCATAAGATATTTTTCATTGATAAATATCAGCACTCTACACGAGGCTTATGCTTCTTTTGCAGATGTGAGAAAAAGAGTGTTTTATAATTCAGTATGTTTTCATTTCAAGAGTCAGTTTCATTCTGAGAATTCTAAAGAATACGAGCATGTTTTTAACCCTTGCTCTGCTCTGGCTGAAGCAATTAAATTTCAGTGTGTGCATTCACCATTGGAAGGAAAAAATTAACACTTGGAAATAAATAGAAGAGCTTTTTTTGTGTGTACTGGGGATCGAACTCAGGACCTTGCGCTTGCGAGACACGCGCAGTGCCACTGAGCTAAATCCCCAGACTGAAAAGAGATTTTTTTTTTTTTATATCCAGACACAGGAAACTCTGAAGCTTATCTGACTCTATGGAGCTCTGCACCTTTGTTTTTATTGTTTATTTTACAATCTGTAAAGATAAAGTTAATGTGTAGAAATATGATAGCGGTACAAATAATTTGTATCTATATACATGCAATGAAGCTCTGTCACATGGAGGACAATTCTTTCCATGAAATAACAGTTTTTCATCTTTCTGCAAATTTATCTTAATATTCCTGATTTGTAAATAAAATCTTGTTTGGATTCTTCTTAGAATTGATTGTAAAATGTCTTACTAGTTCTTTCATTTAATTAATGAGCTGAAATATAGTCCTTGACATGTTCATTTTATATTTGTGTGAGAGTCACGACTGTGTGATTTTTTTTAAAAAATCATCCTTTAACAATTTTGGAGAACGCACAGGGTGAGCAAGAGTCCTTGAGATCATCAGAAACAGCAAAAACCTCAGATAATCAAGCCCAGGGATGTTTTTCTTGGTTTCCACAGGTGAATTTAAAGTGGCAATAGAACTTTGTTGAACCTTGTTTCTGATTGTTTGTTGTTTTGCTTCATTTTAATTCTACTCTCTATTAATTTGCTTTTCTTTCTAGTTCATTTGTGAATGACAAGTTGTTCCTTGCTGTGGCTCGTGTCTGGGTGTCCCCTCAAAGCCTCACGCAGTCTTTTTCAAAGGCAGCTAAATCTGGAACGTACGATGCTGGTACTAAGGGCGTGTGATTCCTAAACCACTGCACGTGAGTGACTGGTTTGGCACCGCCCTAATCCTGAATAAGATAAAAGGCACCCAAAGACACTGTTAAGGCCCCTCTTTGCTAGCTTCTGCACACCGTGTTGTTTCTCTTCTGTGACGCCTCTCTGCCATCCCTGCTTTGGAGCCGGCTACCTCTGAACTGAATCCTCTATAAACTGTAAGTCAAATAGACCTTTCCTCTTTAACTCTGGGTGTCAGGTATTTTGTCTCAGCAATGACAAAACTAACTAATACATTCCTTTTGATAGTTGCAATGATTAGGAATTTGGTAATCTCTGGAAATAGGTTAAGGTCTTTACAGAGATCTATTTCCTGCTGGGTAAAATAATACAGAATATAGTTTGTTGGTCTTTGCCTATTTTAAGTTCAGATCCATTAGGAATTTTATGCTGACAAGGAAGGAGGGCAACGCTGATATCTGTACTAGCGACTTTTTGTTTCTGTGTTTGCTTTTGTTCTGTGGCTGAAATTTGTATGCACCTTCTCTGTAACTGTGTGTCTATGTACCTGGAATTCAGAAAGCCCCTTATCTCCTGTTGTGAGTGTGGAATGTTTTCCCATTTCCAGATGGCATTAATAAATCAGTTAATAAGGGATCTTAAAGGGGCTCTGGTCTGGCTGGTGCATAGAGATAAATAAGCGCTTCTATAAACTCGATATTTCTAAAATTCTCATAAAATAAGAAAATCAAACTTCTGATACTTTATATGTGCTTGCACACATCTCAAACTCCTCAGACACCCTCACTGATGTTCCTTACATTCCATGGCAACATAGTCATTTGCCTAACTTCAATAAGACCTTCTTTTCCTTTTACTGAGATATAACTGGAAAAGGTACTTGTACAACCAAGGCCTTACCTGGCGTTTCATGTTTCATATTTAAGGATGATGCTTATTTGTTCACGTATGACCCGTCACTTTTACAAGACTAAGGTTGACTTTCTAGAGCTAATGTTTGCTACATCTTCCCAGAAAAACTAGCCCAAATTGTGATCCTTATAAGTGGTAAGGAAGGTCACATCCTGCTGGCCCAAGAACCTTAGGATGCTTGGAGGACCTTTAAATAGAGGACAATACCCCTGTTTTTAGATCCTGTAGCTTACTTCTAGAGAACAAAGGTTTTGGGACTTGGTTTCCTAGCATTAGGATTTCAAGTAATAGAGGATTTTAAACTTTCAGTCTGAGGTTCCTTATGAAAACTTACAGCATGATAAGCTTAAGGTACCCTATATGGTAAATTATCATTTTTGCTGCACCAATATAAATAATCAGGCCAAGCCTAATGAGTCCAGCCTTATTTTGTGAATAATTTTGTTTGAGGTCACTTTGAGCAAAGAAATGGTAAGTACATTTCTTTTAATCAGTTTGGAAAAATCCAAAGAGATCCTGGAAACCTTTTCAGTGAATGCTGGAATGTCTACGTACTATCTGAATCTAAGGTGTGACTAGGCTGTTTTACAACTCTATAGATGTCAAGATTAATTTGTAAAAATGGATAACATTGCAAATAATTATCTATAGACACGAAAATAAAATGTCTCTAACAATGGGACACCGTTCTCACAGCAAAGCAAATTTTGCATCTATTTGGAAATTTATTTCAATATTCTTAATCTATAAATGTGTCTGTTCTTTGGATTCTCTTTTGAAACATCTGCAACATCTTAAAGATTTTCTCCTTAAATTGATGGATTTAAATCTTTGATATATATTCCTTTTATATTTATATGAAAGTTAAGATTTTACATGTTTTTAAAACATTATCCTTTTTTTTTTTTTTTTGGTACCAGGGATCGAACTCAGGACCTTGCGCTTGCGAGGCAGGTGGCAGCACCACTGAGCTAAATCCCTGGCCCTAAAAAATTATTTTTAACATTACTGTTATGAAGTCTTCATAACACCCTTATTTTCCTGTTAGATAGATGAGGAATTGGCAGTTCACTCATTCAGCCAATATTTCTTAAGTGCCCATGATGTGTGAGGAACTACTCTGGGGGCTGGGGACAAAGTGGTAAATCAGGGAGACTGCATGACTTCTAGAGGTGGAGAAGACATTAAATAAATTCACAGGTAAACACCTCATTCTGCAATGTGACTGTCTGTGAAGGTCGACCTGAAGATGCATCCGGCCTGATGAGGGGCAGAGAGGAGGCCCAGCAGCTGGAGCAAAAAGGGGTGCAGACAGGGGAGAGGGAGCTGAGGGCTGAGTCAGGCGTGTCTCTCTCTCTGAGTTCAGACTCTAAGGTCAGACTGTGACCTCTTGCCTCGGGTCACACACAGCCTGAACTGAAAACTAGATCTGTAATGGGAAACTTGTGTTCCTAACTAAGGGGTGAAGGAGGAACTCTGTTTTGGGGATTTAGCCAGATAATTCAAGAAAAGGTTTAGTGTACATTGTCTTAAGGGATTTTCTTTGTGGCTGTAATCTTTGTTTGCATGCTGGACTTATGAGAACTGGGGTGAGGCTTAAATGACTCATAAGGGTATCCAGCACACCTGAAAATCCTAGACGCTGTATCTACATTTCTGTAGCTTGTGCTTTCCCAAAGCTCATGTTACCTTGTGGACACATGGCAAATACTCCATAAATATATGTTGATTAACTGCTTGATTAATTGCAGATATTATGGTGGGCCATGTGGTCTCTGATGAATGTTTTAGGGATAAAAATGTTACTTTTTCTCAACCAAGTTTCCATTATCCTAGATTAACTTTCATTTCACAGCAGTTCTTATTTGCCAAAGCAATGATTAATTGAGTCGCTCACTATTTCATTGATCCAAACTTGATCCAGGAAGAATGGAGGATGATAGTGGAGCAAGAAATAGAAACTCTGCAGGTGTTACTCGGCATTCCCGGGGGGAACATTACATAACTAACTAGAAAGTAAGCATCGTAAAGATTTTTGAGTAATGGCTCATAAGTAGGAAAAAAATAGAATTGTGGGAAGATTAAGAAATTCAGAGACTCCTGGGCTTTCCACCACCAGCTGATGGAGGTCAGCTGACAGCAGACGGCCACAGCTGGAAGACAGAGAGGGCTCTGAATCTCCCGCAACCAGAGGGTCTTGAGAATCAACTCTGGGTCCTCTAAATGCTTCAGACGATGGGTAAAAACGGAGATGGGAATATTGAAGACCATTACACTCAGGTATATTTAAGCTAGGAAAGAAGATCCACCAGGGCATTATTGAAAAATTGGCCACTTCAATAGTAGGGAAAGGTGAAAAGGGTTACACTATGATGTTCAGTCCCTAGTCATCCATTTACTTTTTCATTTGCATATTTATTCATTCAACAAGCATTCAGTGTCTACAAAATGCTGGGTATGTTCTAGGCACTAGGATGCGAAGTGAAGGTGATATAGTCTTTTTGTTTAATCATGAGTTTTGTTTTGTTTTGGGTACCTGGGATCGAACTCTGGCCCTTGCGCTTGCAAGGCAGGTGGTGAAACCACAGAGCTAAATCCCCAGCCCTGGTCTTTTTGTTTAAAAACTAGAAATCTGGTGGCATCACAAGGCTTCCTATTTCTATTTAAATAGTATACTGGGAACGATTTCTAAACTGCTACTCAGAATACTATCAGAAACTTGATAATTTCTAATAATGCCACAAAAGCACCACAGTGATTTTCTACGTAATAACACTAACATCTAAATCAGTGTGAAATCCATAAAATGATGGATTTTAGAGGGGGGAGGGAAGTCAGTGACCATCTCATCCCAGCTTCTGGAGGAGGGAACTCAGAGTAAGGATCTGACTTGTCTGAAGCCACCTTGAGAATGAGTGTCTGAGCAGAGTTCAAACTCAGGCCCCCGATTGCTCTTCCCTCCTATCCCTAACCCTATAACACAGCCACTGGGTCACTAACCTTTACTGGCGTCCTTCTGTAAGACTGGTGTGGGGACAAAGCAGGGATCCGTGCGATAAGAAGATGGCAGGACTGTGAGGTTGGATATGGTGGACCCTTTTATTAACTTCTGAACGTTCACCTAAATGATAATGAAAACTGTTTTCAACAGACATTTTTGCCTTTACAATGAACACAGTTTTGTTCTTGAAAACAATAAATAAGATTATGAACAGTTTCATTAAGTTTTAATAAAGTAGCAATATCAGTTCCAGTTTTATTGCTCATGAGTACCCTGGGCTATTGTCTTCTGTCAGGATTTTGTGTAATTTAAAATAGTTAATTAAATCAATTAACATGTGGTGATTTCCACTATGCAAAGTCAGTACAGTAGTTAATAAAGGAACTATTAAGATTTTGTTCAATTTTAATGACTTCAATATAAAAGTGCTAAATCTTGACACAGGAGGTTTTGAATACAGCAAAGTTTTGTACAGGCACATTTCCCAGGAAATAAATACTAGAGTTTTGAGGTAAAAAAAAATAAAATGGGAGAATCTAAATGTGTCAGTCAATATTAACAGGTTAAATACAAACACTGAGTAGGCTCTTCTGCAGATCTCAGAAATAAAGACATGGTGTCTAGATCAGTTACAGTAAATAATTACTTTTGCTAAAGTCATAAAAGGCTTTTATTACAGTTATGAAATATGAATTGTTTCTATTAAGTGGTTTCTAAATTTTAAAGATTACGTGCAGTTCACATAAATCACATGTAATTGTCTAGCCCAAGTACACTATTTTTACCTTTATTAGAGTAGGTTATGAATTACCTGGGCCTCTCAGCAGGGAAATGCAACTGTCTGGTATTTATAGACTGATTTAAATTTTCAAATCATTTTCCAAACATTAATTAATTTGCATAACTTCCAAGGGAACTAGGTAATGGTTCACTGTTTAATGAAGGACTCAAGACAGAAAGGTCAATAGATTTGCTTTGGGTTACACAGTATACTGGATGCCCTCAAATTTTTTATTTTAAAATTAACTTGATTTTACACTGGTGAAATTTGCCATTGGACTCAGTTATGCTACACCTTATTGCTTATTAAGGCCCAGGGACCTTAAAAGGAAAAGGGAAATTTCCTTAAGTCTGAGGGGAAGAAAATCACCTTACTAATTATTTGTTGGCTGAGAAATACCTGTGATTAAAATGTTAGGGCCTCCACTGGCAAGATGTGGTACTAAGGGGAAATAATAAAGTATTGCTACTGTCTTCTATATAAAGATATCTATCTATCTATCTATCATCTATCTATCTATCTATATACTACACACACATATGGGATTGAACTCGGGTCTTGTGTATGCCTGCTAAGTGCTCTATCACTATCCACTAGAAGTTGTATTTTAATAGGAAAGAGTGGACAGGAAGTGCAGTCTGTTTCCTTCCAGATGAGTTGGAAGGGGAAAGGGAAGGGAAGGCCACGCCAGCCTTGCCTGGACGAGAGTGGGAACTCACGCAGTGTAATCTTTCTGGGACTCCAGTCTTGCTCATATGCCCTGGTGCTTTTGTCATCCTCGGCTCTCCTCCCCCCACCTGTCTTCCAGATCCAAGTAGCTTCCAGGGGTTCCCCCTCAATGGGGAGGCTCATGTAATCACCCTAAGTGCTGTTCTAGATATGAAGTATCAAGAAGGGCAGGGTCTCCTGTCTGATTGATATCAGGCTCAGTGAGGCAAACACAAATTGAAGGGAGACAGAAGGATTCCACTTAAATAAAATTGTCACACACTGTGAAGATACAAAATATAGCCTTGGCAGTTTGGGGGCGCGGAGCATTATTTATCTGGATTTTCTGAAAGCCTTTGATAAAGAACACCTGGCAACTGGCTCTTGAAAGCTAAAGCGGCAGGATCCAGCCTAAAGCGTAATATGAAGAATGACACAAAGGAGAGGATGGAAAGCAGGCGACGCTCAGATTCTGTCAGGCAGTCTGCACATTCATGACAACGTTTTCATTCTTCAAATTGCTTCAATCAAAACAGTATAAAAGCCAAACCAAAGAACTATGCTGAAAAGGCAGTGAGGGGTGTGTAGGGATACAGGGGAGGGTTATGGTTTACAGAAATAAGATCCCTCCGTGTCACCAGCTATGAAGCCCTACCCACTCTGCTGTCCCTCTCCCATGGAAAGGTAACCATCCCTGCACACACTTGGTTGATGGCAGAAGGAATTGCCACAATCCTCAGTATTTACTGAGCACTTACTATGTAGCACTAACTTTAACACAATAAGCATTAAATTTCATGAGCAGTGGAAGAGCTAAGGGCTATGGTTGTGCAGAAGAGGGAGTAATTAACTCTGCCTGCTGGTATTACAGAAGGCTTTGCAGAGGCTCTCAACCCTGACTGTATATTAGGGTCACTAAGGGAGTTTTTAAAAAATACTGCTGCCTGGGCCCCAACCCTGGAAAGTTAAATCAGAATAGCTCAGCTGAGGCCTGGGCCTCGGTATTTTTTAAAGCCCCTTATGTGATTCTGGTGTGCAGCCGGGTTTGAGATGCACTGCAGCAAATGATATTTAAATCGTTTCTTAAAGGAAGCATTGAGTTACAGTAGGTGGAGAAGAGGATGCAATTATAGGTAGAAAGAATGATGGGGACAAAGTAAAACAGTATTCTGACATGTGAAGAGTGGGGAGCTCTGTGTGGCTGGGCAAATGTGTATCTATCAGAAGGAAGGAGCGGAGAGGAGACTGGAAAGGTAGGCTGAGAGAAAAGCCTGCTTTAAAAAAAGAAGCCAGCTTGATAAGCATGCTGACTCACTGCCTATTTCAAATATCATCTGCTTCTGGCATCTCTTTTATGTCATGCTTTATGTTGTATTTTTGTGAGAACCATGTGGTTTGTATATGATAGGAAATACCACACAATAATATAATATGAACTATAGGAACTGAATTACAAATAGAACCATGATCTTTATATCTGTTTCTTCATCACTGTATGCAGAACTGTAACTCAGAACTTTATTACTCTATGCCTAAACCTTATATAATTTAATTTTTTGAAAATTTAAAAACACAAAAAAGCATAAAGAAGGGCCGGGGATTTAGCTCAGTGGTTCTGCTGCCTGCCTTGCAAGCACAAGGACCCAAGTTCCATCCCTGGTACCAAAAAAAAAGCATAAAGAAGAAAACAGCAATCATAGTTCCATCCTCCAGAATTAAGCATTGTTAATATCTTGGTATATTTGCTTCCAATATATACAAAAAATCATTCCATTGTATTATTCTGGTACAGATGATAATTATAAAGAATCCAAACAATGCAGAAACACACAAAGCTAACAGTTTAAGAAACCACACAAATGGCATTAGGAAATCCATCATCCTTGATATCTTTCAAATAATTGATGCATCAATGTATAAAAATAGGATTTATATTACATTATTAAATTTATCATTAATAGGAGCAAAAAGGGCTGAATTAAATTCGACAAATTAGTAAACCTTGAATAAACATTTCCTTACTCCAGGGTTCCTCTGAACTAAAAAAAATATTTCTCTGCACAGGGTGGTAAATTTTTCCTTAAAGCACCAGTAGTAACTATTTCAGGCATGTGGGCTCTGTGCGAGCTGTTGGTCATAGCTGGACAGTGACACGGAAAATAGTTAAACAAATACACGGAGCCATGTGCTAGAGTCTGAATGTCTGTTTCCCTAATTCATATGTTGGAACCTGCTCTCCAATGAGATGATATTAGGAAGGGGGCATCTGGGAGGTGATTAGGTCATGAGGGCTTAGTGCCTTTATAAACCAGGCCCCGAGAGCTGTCTTGTCCTTTCCACCGCGTGAGGACACAATGAGAAGGAGCCACCTATGAACCAGAAGCAGACCATCACTAGACACTGAATCAAAAAGCTTTGATTTTGGACTTCTAGGTCTGTAGAAATAGAGGAAATAAATGTCGCTTGTTATGAGCCACCCAGCTCATAGTATTTGGTTACAGAAGGCTGAATGCACTAAGGCATTGTGTTGCAATGAAACCGTATTTACAAAAACAGGTCAGCCCTCACGTAGTAATATGTGGACCTCTGTTGTGCAGTCATGTAAAGGTAATTATGAAAAAAACCTTTAGATTTGTAAAACATGTGCTTTTGTTATGGATGGTACATCCTGGCTTCAAAAGGGGAGAACAGTAGAGTTACAACTCCCATCTCCTCTCCCTCACCTCCCAAGTTCGGATTAATATTTTTACATTGTCTAGATTTATAGTATTCACATTCTATTTTGGTACTATAATTGCTATAATTATCTATTTCTACATGTAAATGGATCCAGAGGCTACCAATAGTCCTTTTCTTGTAGATTCTCTAGATTCGAGTTCTTATTTTGATTGATTTCTTAATAGGCTAGCTTTGACTGTAGTGTATACTTAAAAAGTACCAATAATCTCAATTAAAAAAAAAGATTGTAATATCTGAGAAAAACGCTAGCTTTGGTTATTAAATAGTTTTTTTTTCCCCAACAAGTGTTCATGAGTAGTTTACTAGCCTTTTTATTTGAATTACATGGGTGGGGGACATCCTTTCTTTTTTTTTTTCTCTCTCTCTCTCTTTGAGTTTATTGGTACATTTTAGGTATACGGTACAATTACATTCATCATTGGAATCTTGTACCTTTACATGACAGGTCTTGGTTCTCATTTTTTCCCCTTGTCCCTGCCCTCCCTTCACCCCCTCCTCCCTTCCCTATTTCCAAATACTTTATTTCCATTTTTTCATTTTCTTTTATTTTTCATCCTTTCTTTTGTTAAAAGTTTGTAAACACCATACCATTGTCCTCTATGATGAATATTGTGAAATCTGATGCCAGCCTGATTTATCCTTTGTAGGTGATTTTATTCTTGTCTAGACTTCTAAAACATTCGTTGTCTTTGAATTCAGGTATTTAACTATGAAATAATTTATGTTAAATTCAGTGATATCTCAGTTGTCAAACGGCTCCAAACTCGAACTTTACACTACTTGAACAGCAAAGTTCAAAAAAATTTGCTCAGTGTTTTGTAACTTTTTTTTTTTTTTTTTTTTTTTTGGTACTGGGAGGTCCAATGTGGGTCCTTGCACTTGCGAGGCAGGC